GCTAATGTACCCTCAGCTAATAACAGCAGTTGGCCAGAACCAGCTTTTCTCTTGCACATTTGTCCGCTGCTTACCAGTTAACATGCGGAAGCTGGAGATTAACTTAAGTGCCTTCCAGCAGCTTTCCAACGATTTTGTCTTGCAATTTAACCCATTTCCGATCCTTAACACCAAATCTCCTGTCCCGGAACTGAGAGCACAAAACTGCAGGATGGGTGGTATACTTCAAATCTTGTTTCATACAGCTTTTCTGTTTTAGAGGTGTCGACTGTGCGGCCATTGTATGAATTATGAACTGCGAAGCATCCTGCGACCAGCGTATGAAGAACACATGTCCAGGCGTAACATGCGACGAATTTTGCCACGTACCGTACATAAACCTCAGCATACAGGCCTGGCTCACAGTGAATTGGACAGGCTACTTATTCTTTGGTTTGATGGTAAATGTAAGCAGGACAAAACTTGGTGCTCGTGATCAACGTTCTAGCAACAACCGGTACCGACCAAAGAACGTCAAGCAAATCTTGACTGAAAATTTACAATTTTTTCGTCCATGATTCGTGTGTATGTATATGTACGCAGAAGCAAAAATTTGTGGGATTTGTTCCAAAATATGCACATTCCTAGCGAATCGAAAGCAATCGTTGTTATTCCCGACCGACCAATCGGATACGCTCAATAATAGAGAAGTGAGAAACTCAAAATTTCCGGGAGTTTGACTCAACATATCACTGGAGAAGCGCTGGAATCATTTCTATCAGACTCAGATGAAACATCCCGAAACTGCGATAGATCCGTGAACTTACAACGAACAACTGCGATGCATTTACAATTTCACTTCATGCCTGTGAACTCAAATAAGTAGTTTTAAAACAAACTCCGAACAGCAAAGAAAAATATGAAAAAGCGAATTAATGACATGACGGTTTTAGCGAGCAAAAGTAAACGAAAAATAGACAAGCACCAATACCGCAGAAACTTCCCCGCTTTTGTGAGCGAAGGCAAACTGGACTTGTGGAGCACAAGTAACAAAAGTTGTGGTTTTCGGAAGTTTCTTTTGTTATTTCATCGCTCGCTATTCAACATTTATTGTGCCGAACTGTAGTTCGAATCACATAAATATGAAAAATTTACAGTTCATCAGAATAACACTGTGCTAACTGGTGAAGAAAATAATAAACTGATAATCAATTACTAAGATTAACAAGACCAATCG